CAACAAGCTCTTGTGTATGCTTCCAATCATGTCAAAAAGTAAATGGTGTTGGGTGTGACTCATGAGACAGGTGAATCTTGATAAATTCAAGGCTAGCCAGGACTAAACAGTGAAATGCAGTTTCAAAAATTTTTTTTTTTACTTGTACGAATTGATGGTTTGGAGTATTCCTAAACCTCCTAGTGATCTAGACAGGTGGTACACCTGTAACTTCAGCACTCTAGAGGCACTGGCAGGGAAATTGCGAGTTTGGGTTTGTCTGAGCTATATGGGTAAAGTATCTCAAAAAGGGGAGAAAAAGTTTTAAACATTTTAAAAATAAGACAAATGAAGCAGATTTGGTGTTAGAGCCCAGGTTTTCATATTTTGCTTATTCACAAATACCTCATGATGTATTTTTTTATTGTGTAGCCTAAATAACCAATAGAAAGAAAATAGAAATTACCGTATGATTTCATTGAGATCTTAGCAATTGGCCCTAAGGTTGATATACCTAATGCTGTTCTAAATCACACATTTAGAGGGCGCTGTTTTTAACTGTTCAGCTCCATTCATCTTTTGCTCCCTGCACCTCTTGTTGAAGTTGTAAGGCCTGGGGTCTCACAGCTCAGGAGTTCAAGATCGCGCCCTTCCCAGAAACACCCCCGGACCAAGACTTGTTGCAAAAGCAAGAGGTTTATTAACCATTGCACAATGGGGTCACCCCTGCCGTTCAGCAAAGAGTGGCACCGGGAGACAAAGGCCTTTAGGTTTTTAAAAGAAAAATTGCGGGAAATTTGAAGTTGCAGTCTTGGCAATTTAGGATTGGATGAGGAGGCTATAAAGTAAGATAATTGGTTGGTCTTAGGTGCTCAAGCTTGGCCAGTCCTGCCAAGTGTGGATGCAGCTGCAATTGAAGGTGGGGGTGGTTAGCTCATCCTTGAAGATTAGGGGCTACAGACTTTTGGCTGGAGGTCAAAAGCTACTCAGAAGAAGTCTAGGTTCGTTGCTAAGAAACGCTATCTCAAAGACAGGAGTTTTTCTTTTTGCTGAGTGAAGGTCATTGCTTGCTTGCCTTTTTTTTATCTGTCCTCACAGATAGGGTCACATTCCAAAACTACAGGCTTTAGAAGACATATAGGTTACAAAGTTAGCCTGACCCTTTCAAAGTGATATTTTTTAGTGCCCAGCATATTTGGAGCATTCTGTGCATTAGGTACTTGGTATACATCTTAATTCCTGTGGTATTTTTGAAATATGTAAAACTGTGGCTGATTTGCGTTTTCTAAAGTGAGGGAGTGTGGGAGAGAGAGCACACCTTCTCAGTCTGTCATCACGAAAAACATTCTTGTGGGCACAGCCAGACTGCATGACCTGTGCCCTAGAGGCTGGAGAAAGAGTCCTACCTCTTCCACATCTGCAGAACTGAGCAGGCTCCCAGAAGTAACCCGGAACTCTTGGGTAACATTCAGGCCTTCACAGCCAGGTTTCTGCTGGGGGATGGGCCTCCTGGAGTCTGGTCTCTTGTTATACTGTGGCAAAGGTGGCGGCTACAAGGCCACACCCTCCCTCAGGAGCTCAGGAGGCCAGTTTTAGATTTTTGTCAAGTAGGTAGTTAGGGTGCCACCAGAGTTCAGGTTACCTGGACGTGCGGCTGCCTCTCATCTTCCCTTTCTGTGTGACTAGATCCTTTGCTGAAGAATCTATCCCAGGAGATTGTAGAATTACTCAAAAAGCTGGTGGGGCTGGAGAGCTTCTCGCTAGCTTTCGCCTCTGTACAGAAACAGGCCAGTGAAAAGAGGGCACTGCGCAAGAAGAGGAAGGCCCTGGAGGTGAGTTTGCGGTTGTGAATGTGGCTAGTCCACTGTTAACACGTGCTTTCAACTGGGAGTGTGCTGTGTGCTTGTGTGCCACTGTTGCCCAGGAAAGGAATGAGGGCTTGGGACAAGTATTTTCACTAATGACACATCTTCTGAATTTGGTTTGGATTCTTTTAACATGTACTTTAAAAGTAATGAAAGATTTCTGTTTTCTCTTCAAGTTTGTAACCAATCCTGATATTGCTGCCAAGAAGAAGTTGAAGAAACATAAAAATAAAAGTGAAGCAAAGAAGAGAAAGATAGAGTTCCTGCGTCCAGGCTATAAGGCCAAGAGACAAAAATCGCAGAGCCTGAGAGATTTAGCAATGGTGGAGTGAGGTCTCCCTGTATCATATCAGTAACTCACTGTCTCAACTAGGTTGAGAACCTGAACTTCCTGCTTCCTTCTACTGGGCTGATTACCCAGCAGATTTTGTCAAACTTTGGAAAGACAGCTTACCACTTAGAAGGCTGAGGCAAGGGGATGGCTACAAGTTTCAGGCTGGCTGGGCTAACGAGACCAGGTCTCAACCAAAAGAAACGAAGTTAAAACTTTGGCATAGATTTGTTATATATATTTTTGTGTAATTATGCTTGTATTTTTTAATTAAAATGTTTAATATGCTTCTCCTGTATCTTCATTGTCTAAAAAGGACGATACTAAATGACAGGATTTAACGGTCATTTGAAATGGAGGTGACTCTGGTGTGGTGGCACATGTAAGACAAGACAATGAAGCGACAAAGCAAGTGCTTTCAGGAAAGGGTGCAGTAAGGGCTTATCCTGAATGTGTCAAAGACATAAAAGTGTAGGCAGTAGCAGAACAGCAATCACCCGCTTCCCTTCTGGGTGGCTCAGTGTCTAGCAGCACTTACTGCGCTTCCCAAAGATTTGCGTTCAGTTCCCAGCAACATAGCTGTCTGTACCTCCAGCTCCAGGGCATATGCCCTCTTCTGGTCCCTAAGGACTCCTGCGCTAACATGGCATATACTCACATACATAAAAATAAAAAGAAATATTTTTAATGGTGCTTCTCCTAAAGAGGTCCATACTAGGATGTGGCATGTTCCATATGCCACTGTTAACGGTTTTGTTTCCAGGCTGTGCGTTATCCAGGAGTCAGCTGACGATCCTGTAGAAGTGACAAAAGAAATAGGTATGCACAAGAGAAGCAGAAACGATCCTTTAACATTAACTGAGCTGAGAATGGCTTTTTCAGTTTCCTTAGAATGCTCATGCTGGTTGGTTAAGTAGTCACTGCCTTTAGCCTCACCACCGCGTGCCCCTTGGGTATGAGTTCCTGCAGTTACTCCTCATAGGAGTTCCTAGCAGAACCGGTTGGAGAAAATTCCATTATAAACCTGTCTCTGATAAGGCTGACCGTACCAAGAGTCAGGAACCTAGTAGGGCAACAGAAGTCTTAGAAAGCATGTTGCAAAGCAACTCAGCATTACCTGTGGACCTCAGGCACTTCCAGCCTAGTAGTCCACTGCTGAGAAAAACTTAGAACCGTGCGACCACAGACACTAGTTAAAGGAATCCCAGTGTCCTCCACAAGAGAATAGAAGCGTGGTATATATGTGTATATATGTATATCCCCACACATATTTGTAAGTTAAATGGAGCAAACAAACAACCAACCAGAAGCAGAATTTCAGAAACACTGAAACCTTCCCAGTTTCTAAGGTTTAATGCACCCAAGTGTGTAGTGGCTCATACATTCAGAGGGACCAGTTGTTAGTTCAGCCACAGCATCTGCTCACTGCACTCAGTGTTGATGTGATAGTCTTCAGTGCCCAGTGTATCTGGAAAATAGAAAACCTATCCTGTGTGCTAGGCACTTGGCATACATCTTATAGATCTAATACTATCCGTGTGAATCAAAATTGTTCCTATTTTAGAGAAAAGAAAAAGACTCAGTAAGACATGGAATGTAGGTAATATATTCAAAACAACTCTCATTACCAAGCTACACACACACTGGTATTCAGATTTATTTTGTTAATATCAGCATTGAAACTTGGGATTTATTCTAGCCTGTATGTGATCAGATCGAGATGGCAGGGGCTATGTGCTAGGCAGCATGTGCCCACCAGACTTTTTCCCAGTGAACCAGAATCAACCGGAGTATTCAGCACCTTGAGAATAAGCCTAGTAATCACAGTAAATAAATTACTCTTCTACCATTTTCCAGCTATGTGCCATTGATCAGAAGGAAACTAAAGTATAAATTGCAGTGCCACTTGCCTACCTGGCAAATATTTATCCTATTTCAACTTTACTTTTTGCATGGCATATTATTAGGGTATGAGGAGTACACTTGTCTGTGGAGATTTGGTGGTCAGAGGTTGACTGGAGTTTCATCTTCTAGCGCTCTCCATCTTACTTGGTTGAGGTAAGGGTTTCAACTGGACCTTGCCATTTCAGGAAGCTCCAGCCCCAGCACTGAGGCTGAAGACATGTCTGGCTTTTTATGTAAGCGCTGGGTATCAGGCATTGATCCTCACCCTTGCAAAGCAACAATCCACTGAGCCACCTCCTGGCCTCAAATATGAACATACTCCAGTGGAATGGAACGTCCACATATATGGATACTAGTATTCACATAGAAGCCAAAGTCGTTGCCCATTTACTCGTTTTGTTTTGATTAGTTGTATTGGGAATAATTGCCTGGAGGAAGAGGGTTCCTAAAAAGACTTCAAAGAAATCAAACTATAGAGGCAAGTAAAGGTTGACTCCTAAGCTGGCCATGCTGGTGCACAGCCCCAACTCCAGGAGCCAGACATGAGGATCACTGGGTTTAGAGCCAGCTGGGACAAGCCCCAAAAAATTAAAGTCAAGTCCAACAGGAGTAAAGTGCATCCATTCACTTGCCCCAACAAAATGACCATATACACAGAAGGGAAGGCCTCCTTTCCAAATGCCAGTTGTCACGTATTTGAAAGAACTGTGTTAGGAACTGTGGACGATACTGCACACTGTAGCTAAGCGTGTGGTGGATTACTGGGTTGGGGAAGTTCCTCTGAAAACAGTCTTTCAGCCTACAGTATGCTTAAGTTTTAAAACTAGGAATATTTAATTTCTGCTATAGAAGCATTAAGATTTTTTAACCAATTTCATAACAATAAAGGTAAATGAATAAAAGACAGTAAAGACATCTCATTAATACTTATTAAAATTACTTTTTATTTCCTTTCATGTGAAGTTTTTTGTTATTGTGAACTCATCAAACACAGCCATTTTGGGATCCTTCTGACTGTATCACTTAACCATTTTACTAGCATAGACAAGAATTTATATAAACATTTCTTTGAATGTAGCTACTTTAGCATAATTTTTTTAGTTGGCTGGGTTAGTTTTTGTTTTGTTTTGTGTTGAGACATAGTTTCAAGCAACACTGGCTAGCTTCAGGCTCACCACTTAGTTGGAGCTAGCCTTGAACTCTTGGTCCTCCTGCTTTTGTCTCCTGAGTACTAGGATTACAGATGTGAACCACCACACAGTAGGTATCTGTCTGTGTTCCCAGAGTTGGCATTTCCAGATACACTATGATCTAGGACACAAGTTTCTGACCCAAAAGCCCCACTCTGAACCCTACCCTACCTCACTGTATAAGGCCTGGCAAAGGAACAAAGCAAAACCGAGCCTTTCTCACAGGGTTCCTGTACAAAGTTCAGGTCAACATAAGTAAAATTCTTTTGACAGCTATAAAGTAATGTAATGTTTTTTAAGTCAGTAAAGTGAGCGAACAAAATAATACTCATGCCTATAACCAAAATCTCAAGTGAAATACCTTAATATAAACTAGTCAGTTAGGCAAATGAAGATTTTATTATACACTCTATATTTCTAACCTACTTTGCTAAGACTAATCTTTGGAAAGTTTTAATTCATTTTAAGGGGGAAATGTCTGAACTAAATCTTAGTGTTCATACAAACAAGATGCAACTGCTAATTTAAAAATAGGAGGGTTCCCCCAAGTGCGTACATTCTTTAATAGAACTGTATTTGAGTAAGAATTCTATACAAATAGAATATATACCTTAACACAAGAGAGCAAGGAAGAAATATTTTACATTACATAAACGATTTGGGTAATTCAATCAAGCTAACCCTCTCGCCAAATACTTGTTTTTCATATTTATTACAAACGTTGAAGTCAGTTCTGTGTACACCAGAATCACACAGTTCCAAGTGCCAGGACGCACATCTGCCTGCTTCCGACCAGTGTGCTGCAGCCTCTGGTTCACAGGCACTCATGGGAAGGGAATCACTGTCTGCTTTTCAGTGTTTCAACTAACCTGGAGAGAGAAAATGCAAGGGTTTAACAAAACTAACTTCCAGGTATAAAGCGTGAACATCTGCAATACAAGTTATTTCACAGTGGAGGTAGATTCAAAGCACTTTAGATTACAAAGATTAACACAAAGAAGAAAAAGACCCGAGTATCTATTGATTTTTATTCTGCTTCTTTTCTTTCATTTTTTAAAACAGCGGTTCTCTATATCAGAGTCCTGGCTGTCCTGGATTCTCTTTGTAGACCAGGCTGGCCTCAAACTCACCTGCCTCTGCCTCCTGAGTGCTGGGATTAAAGGCATGTGGCACCACGCCTAGCTTCTCTCTCTCTCTCTCACACTCACACACACACACACACTCTCACCATTTAGCCAAAAGTGGCCTTAAATTCCTGACCCCCTTGACTGCCTCTAAAGTGTTGAGATTATAGCCAGGCACTGTCAAACTGAGTGTCTATATTCTGCTATACTGTTGGGTTACATATGCACAGTTTAGAGGTAAAAACTGGTCTCTATTCTCAAACAGCTAGAGTCTGAACACCTACTGAAGAATTATAAAATAATGTGGCAAACACTGTATCACTGGCCACTGGGAGGGAGGGGGTTGCAGCAGAGTCTTCACTATGAAGCCTTAGCTGACCTGGATCTTACTAAGTAGACCAGGCTGGCCTCAACTTCACAGTGATCCTCCTGCATGTGCTGGTATTAAAAGTGCCTGTCAGGCATCTTGACAAGAGCAGGCAGCCTGCAGGGCCCCAGGAACATCCAGACAAGAGTTTACTATAACTGTCTTCTGAGAGGCTTCATCCAGCAGGTGATGGGAACAGATGTGGAGAACCACAGCCAAACAATAAAGTCTTGGAGAAGGGTGAAAAGAAGGATTTAGGGAGCTGGAGGGGTCAAGGACACCACAAAAAGACCTACAGAGTCAACTAACCTGGTCCCATGAGGGCTCAAAGAAACTGAACCACCAACCAAAGAGCATGCACGGACTGGACCCTACACATATGTAACAGAGGTGCAGCTTGGTCATCATGTGGGTCCGCTAACAATGGGAGTAGGAGCTGTCTCTGACTATGCTGCCTGCCTTTGGATCCCCTTCCCCTAGCTGAGCTGTCTTACGTGGCCTCAGTGGGAGGGATGTGCTTAGTCCTGCTGCTATTTGATTTACCAAAGTGGGCTGGTACCCATGGGGGGCCTCCCCTTCTCAGAGAAGGGGAGTGAGGGATGGGAGGAGGGGTTGTGAGGGTGAGACTAGGAGGAAAGGAGGGAGAGGGCTTCAAACAGACCATAAAGTGATTAAAAATTTAATTAATGGAAAAAAAAAAAAAGAATCTTGACAAGAAGCAAGCCCTAGGCTAAATTCTGGAGGACTCAGAACTGGAGAGGGAAATAAAGCAGAGAACCAACCTACCTAATAATTACAGTCATGTAAATGTGGCTGGAAGACAATGGGAGAAAAGGCTGGAAGAGATGCCAATTAGCTGCTGCCCAAAGTCATCCTCAAGAAAATAAACATTGCATCATAGGCCAGGTGTGGAAATGCACATTGGTAATCCCTGCACTTGAAGTAGGATCTATCCTGGGCTACATACCAAGACAACTTTGCCTGGGAAAAAGACAACTATCCTATAGTAAGCTTCCCATATGCATGCACAGATGCCTTCAAACACAAGATACTTGCCATTCCATTGCCTCATCAAGGCCAGTGCCTTTGGTTGCTGAGGTTTTAAATATCTGCCACTTCCGGTCCTTCAGGGCAGGTAACCCAAGTGCATTTGCCATTTCTGAAGGTGTCATGGCCTGCTCCATGTCCTGCTTATTTGCAAACACCACTAAAATGGCTTTTCGAAGCTCTTCTTCCTAAGGAAAATGGAAAACAATTTCATTTCCTTTAATCAATTTGCACCCCTGATTTTGTAAAAACAAAAAAAACCAAATTGTGTTGAAGAATGTGTATCCATATTCCTGTAAACAACTCTAATGAAATTCACTGGGTCATTAAAAAAAATAAAAAAAATAAAAAAAATAAAAAAAGTAGAAGGGAGGCTAACTGGGAAGAAGGGGAGATTCCAGGATAGAAAAGGGGAACAAGAGAAGAAGAAAGGGGAGTGCATATATAAGCAAAATATTATTAGTGCATTAAATAAAATACTTTATGTACACGCAAGAAAAACATCAAGGAAACCCATTGTGTACAGTTAACATATGCCAAATGAGACAGAAACATTCCAAACTTAGAGTAAGAAATAACACCAATCTTGGACTCGGAGGATAGGGCAAATGGATCAAATCTGAGGCTAGCCCAGACTTGGCAAGCAAGTTCAGGCCAGCAGAGGCTAAAGCAAGACCCTATTCTCAAGAAAAAAACAAATCCTTCCTCACTGCTTTCTGGTTGGTCCTGATGTCCTTTTATCTGTTGATATTTAGCATGTCTGAATGAAGGTGTGATTACAATTAAATCTATCTTTTCTTTTGGAACTCCTTCCCATTGTTTCGGGAAGGCTTTCCCAATCTAGAATTCAAGCATGTTGACCTAAACATTCTGGCTAACCTCAATTTTTACACATTAGTTATTTCATTTAGATGTTCTCTATGTATACAAAGAAGGTAAAACCTAAACTGCTTTTGTGTTTGTTTCAATGTTACCAGTACAAACTGGCACTAGACCCACACTTTACAAACAGTGTCTGTTGAATGAAACAAAGCTACCTAACAACATGACTCCCAGGTCTGCTCTGTGAAGTGTTGTGTTCTCCAGTGTGAGGGATCACAAGCTATGCGAACACTGCTGAGCTAGCCCCCACCTTGGTTTTGAATAAGACTTTGAACTGTGTAGTCCAGGATGGCCTCATCTCATCATCCTCCTGCCTCTGCTTCCCAAGTACCAGAATTAGAAACATGTACTTCTAACACAGCCCACCTCTGTAATATTTTATAATCAAATCCTCATGTTGCAAAATGACTTCATAACAATCTTATACAACTCCAGAACTATAAATTATTAAAGCTAATAATAATAGTAAGGCCAGCATGGGCTACACAGTAAAGCCTTGTCTCAAAAATCAAAGAAAAAAAATCCTTATACTGTAGTTTGATCTAAGAAGCTTATAACTATGATGCTACATTATGAAAAAATTAAACACAGGTTTAAAACTATTAACTCTATGACTTACAACTTGGAAACCATTACAAAGTTGGTAGTCCTAGAAATTACAAATCCAGTCCTTGGCATTTACCCAGTGTGCTAGTCTCTTGAGAACGTCCCCATCCACCTACTCTCAGGCATCTCAGTACCAGCCCACCTGGGAGCACTGTTTGAGGAGGCTTAGGAGGTGTGGCTCAACTGGAGAAAAGAGTCAATGGGAACTGGCTTTAAGAGAAATGGTGCCATTTCAAGTTTCTCTCTCTGGTTCCTGTTTGCAGTTTAAGATATGAGTCCTCGGCTTCCTGCTGCTGCTGTCATGCCTTCATTCCACCATTATAGACTCTAACCTGGCCCCTGGAACCACAGCCTCAATGAACTTTCTGTAAATTGCCTTAGTAATAGTGATATAGCACGGCAATAGAAGAGTAACTAATATACCTTGGTGGCAAGTAGCCTAGAACTGTATTTAAGCATTAAATAACTGGGTAAGATGGAATTGTAGAAAAAGGAAACATCCAGTTAAGTTTCCAAAACAAATACTATTTGCCTGTTATTAAGTAAATCAAAGCATATTTACTTTTAGCCTTTTATTTAATGAATGCTCTAAATTTGATTAGCCAGGCAATAAATTATAAATGATTTCAGTAAATAAAATGTATTGTTTTGTGATAGAGATACAGCTCAGTGGTAGAGCTCTTGCTAAGCATGTACAAGACTCTGGGCTCAAACCTCAATACCATTAAAAAAAATTGCAGGACGTAATAGCCTTTAATCCCAGCACTTAAAAGGCAGAAGCAGGTGGACTTCCGTGAATGCAAAGGCAACCAGGACTATGTAACTAGACCTTTTCTCAAATACATCAACAAAACTGGCCAGCTGGGGGTGGTGGTGCACACCTTTAATCCCAGCACTTCAGAGACAGAGGCAGTCAAAGTTCCAGGGCAGCCAGGGATACACAGAGAAAACCTGTCTTGGAAAACCAATCAGCCAACCAAATAAACAAACTAATAGCAAAACAAGATCCTGTCTCAGAAGAGAAGGTAACAACTGTGAATGAAGCAAGCTCAAAGGGTTCAGAGAAATTTGAGTTCAGCTAAAGGACTGCAAATAAGTGAAAAGTAAAAATTTGATAAAAGCCAGGGCAGAACTGTGTCAGAAACCCAGAAATATGCATTTCTTAGCATACCAATGTTTCTAAAACATCCGAAAGTAAGAAATTTTAAAAGGCAGAACTGAAGACATGGCTTGGTGCATAAGAGCACTTGCTCTTCTTCCAGAGAATCAGTTTGGTTCTCAGCACCCATACCAGGTGGCTCCCAGTGGCCTGGAACTCCAGCCCTATGGTATCTGACACCCTCTTCTGGCCTCTGAGGGGACCAACACACATGCACATACAGACACAAATGAAGAGACATAAAGATAAATTTTTAAAAGTCATATTATTGGGGCAGTAAGATAGCTCAGCAGGTAAAAGCTGCCGCAAAAGCCTGACAATCCAAGATACATCTTTAGAACCTACATAAAGGTACAAGAGGGTCAACACTGCACTGCTGTGCTCTGACTCCATGTCCAAGTGTGTACACATGCAAACACATACAAACACAAGCTAATAATTTTTTTTAACTTGAATAGCTTAAATTAAGAGCTCTCAATTTTCAAGAACTCATGAAATGATGACAGGAAGCTATAGGTTGGACTTTTATTTCACCCATCTTTCCAACTGTATTTCTGCAATAGGAAGTAATGTTCACCTTTTTAAAAGAATAGAAAGGGGGGCAGAGACAGAGAGACAGAATGGGCTATAGGGATAGCTCTGGTTAAGTGCACTTGCTGCTTATGCAGGAGACCCATGTCTGATTCTCAGACTGACATGGTAGATTGGAACCATCAATAATTCCAGTTCCAGGAACACCTTCTTCCAACCTAAGGCACACAGGTGGTGGAACCACATATGCAGCCAAAGACTCACACACACAAAATAAAAACAAATAAATCTTTAAGGAAGCATTAGCCCAGTGGTTAATTCTACATTGTTGCTCATGCAGAGGACAGGGTTTGATTCCTAGTGGTTCATAATCATTTATACCTCCACTCCCAGGGGAACTGATGTCTTTTCTGACCTCCACAGACACCAGGCATGCACATGGTACATGCACATAATGCAAACATTCATACAAATAAAAAAAAAAAAAAATGTGTGTATGTCTTTAACGTGCTTACTTGTATTTGTGAGTATGTGTGTGTGTTCTGTACACCATGTGTCTACGGATCCACTGGAACTGGAGTAACAGGTCATTTGTAAGCTGCATGCTGCCAGCTGCATAAAGGTGCTGGGAACTGAACCCAGGTGCTCGGAGAGAGCAACCAACCAGTGCTCTTTCTCAATGACTAAGCCATCTCTCCAGCCCCCAAGAAAAAGCTTTAAAAAAAAGGAAAGAAAACTATCCCTGAATGTTTTTAATTATTATTGCACATGATAACATACAAACACACAAAGGAAGCAAATGTAAATGATTCCTCTAGTTCCTCCACACTTAAATGTTTGCTTACCTCCAACATGGCAACTAACTCTGACTTGGAAATGCCAATTCGGTCTCTGTCACAGCTGTCAACTACATAGATGACTGCATCTGTGTTTGAATAGTAACATCGCCAGTATGGTCTAAAGAAAATTCAAAAATTGAAAACATGTTATCTCTTGCAAACCACCTGACATGTCAATTCACATGCTGGACTTAGTCCATGATGTGAGACAGCAGCCACATGGCAGCCATGCTCCACTCATGTTCAGAACACTGCTCAATGAGTTACTGTTTCTCACAGAATCACACCTTGCATCACACTCGGTATGACGGGGTTGAAAGAAGATAAATATTAAATTATAGTTTCAAAGTTTGAACTTCAAGATAAGATGATACAAACATAATCTACAAAAACCACAAAATATACTGATAAGAAAGTTGTACACAGATTTGATCATTGTAATTTACAAGTCTTTAACCAGGAATCCTTACAAGAAAAGGATGAGTTTTTGTTATTGTTTTTTCCCCCAAGACAAGGTTTCTCTGTATAGCCCTCTATACTGGTTGACTCTATCAACCAGTCTGGCTTCAAACTGAGAGATCCTCCTGCCTCTGCTTCCCCAGTGCTGGGATTAAAGGCATATACCACCACTACCTGAAAATTTTAATGTGACTTTTTATGTCTTTAATCATTGATGACAACCAGAAGTGGAATTGGCTACAATTAGAAATGCTCTCAAGAAGGGCAGTGGTGGTGCGGGTCTTTAATCCCAGTACTTGAAAGAAAGAGGCAGGTAGATCTCTTCAAGGCCAGTCTGGTCTACAAAGTGAGTTCCTGAATAGCCAGGGCTATTTAGAGAAACCCTGTCTCAAAAACAAAAATACAAATAATAATCATCTTAAAAGTTACCAAATAAAACAAGTCGCCAATTGGCAGATTATCAGTGAATGTATTACTGACCAATCAATCTCTCCTCTCTTTATTCTGTCTTTTATGGGACCGTCTCACCCTGACTGGCCTGGAAACAGATATATAGACCAAACAGGCCTCTAACTCACAGACATCCTCCTGCCTCTGCCTCTCAGTGTTAGGATTAAAGGCATGCACAACCACACCAAACTACCGATCTTTTTAACACCCTAAACTGGTCCCCTTGCCACTGATGGTCACAAGCATTTGCCAAGCATCACCCTGCATGGTGGTGAATGAATGCCGAACAGTTCTCTCAGAAAGGGAAATGACAAAACCCAAGCAAGGGGCTAGTTTTTGAGCCCTTTCAGTTCTCATGAGAGGATGTTCATTTAAGAGATTATCTGAAAATTTGAGTTCCCCAGATTTTACTCTCTGGATAAGAAAAATATATAGTTTCAAATTCTACCTCATTTAAATCAATGTGACCCCTATCTAATTTCCAACAGGAGATATATTTTGGTTCAGTGTTGTCAGTGATGAAAAGAAACAGTAAATGTTAAATATCAACAAATGATCTGGTGTTTATACCATACCTGATACTTGTCTGTCCCCCTAAGTCCCAAACTTGGAATTTGAGGTTTTTGTATGTTACCGTCTCTACATTAAATCCAATAGCTGAAAGAGAAATCAAATCAGTATTACATGTAGATTAATCCACTCTACCTTTACCAGGTGTCCAACTTCACTGAGTTCTAGCCACTGATGGTGACTTTCAGTCTCACTTGGGCTGGGTTATTATAACATTTAAGACAATATACTGTTTCTCTCTGTGTGTCTGTTTGTCTGTCTCTCTCTCTCACACACACACACACCACAAACTAATAAGGTCATCACCATCTTCAAGTTACAAAAAATCTCCTAAGCACTCTGCATTTTAACACATGCCTATCTTTTGTTTGTTTGTTTGTTTGTTTGTTTGTTTTTGAGGCAGTGTCTCTTGCAAGCCAAGCAGAGTAGGCTGGCTGGCTGGCCATCGTGCCCAGGCCTCTGTTAGTCTGCCTCCCCACTGTTGGGATCATCACTGTCCAGCACCTCATCCAGCTTGTTGTTACATAGGCTCTAGAAACTGAATTCATGAACTCAGCACTCACCTAAGCAATTTACCCAACCCTACAAATCTATTAAACTCCCTGGAGTTCTGGTAAACAAGTGCTCAAAAGTTTTATTTGAAAAGTATGGTTAGGGCTGCAGAGATGGTTCAGTGGTTAAAAGTACTGTCTGTTCTTCCAGAGGTCCTGGTTCAAGTCCCAGCAACCATACGGTTGGCTCTCAACCATCTACACTGGAATCTGATACCCTCTTCTGTCATGCATGTGTACCTGCAGATAAGCACTCATATATGTAAAATAAATAAATCTTTTTTTTTTTTTAATGTACGGTTATAGATTCAAGCCTGAAGCTCTGGTAGATGGTAAATAACTAAAATTAACATGAGACTAGGCTCTAAACTCAATAAGGACACAGCAATGATTATGAAAGCCAAATTTTCTGCAGGTAGCAGATCTTTGTGTATTTGAGGCCAACATGTTCTACAGAGCAAGTTCTAGGCCAGCCAGGGTTATCCAGAGAAACCCTGTGTCAAAAAACAAACAAACAAAGAGTGAAAAATGACTTACAGTTACCACTGATTTTTGTTTCCTAGTTTTTAATGTCCTATTGGTAATGATGTATTTGGCAGGTAGGTATGCTTATTACAACTGAAAAACAAAACTGGCAAATGTAGCAAACCAAAAAGCAAGCTAAAAGCAAGCTCCCGTTCTCTCCCAGAAGTAGACAAGTGCAGTTCTATGTGCATCACCAGCAAGGGCACTGTTTATGTGCTACGCACAGGCATGAAAACAGCCCACACTGCAGTCCAGCCACTGTGTAGCACTGTGCCCTACAGACGCCACAAACAAGATATACACATGGAGAGGAGATATATTGAGAAGTAAGAATCAGTGGAAATGAAATGGGCAGAAAACTGTAAAAAGAAATAAAAGATGCTAAAAATCCAAACATTCCTCCTTAAAAGCAAAACAAAAATACCCTGGAAGCTTTAATAGGGACAAAATGGGAATATCCTGACAGTGATTAAAAATGCACAATTTAAAATCTTGAGCAAATCATATGGACACTTGAATTTAATTAAAAGGTATTAGTCTTGCTCTAAAATTTTAGTTCAACAAATGAAACAGTATAACCCTCAAGAGCATCCCCACGTGGTACAATAGGACTGTCTGCAAATAATTTTCTAAGACAGCAAGAATAATAAGGCCAGGAGCAGAGTTAAAGTTCAGGTGTTTCTTCTCTTAGTTTTCAGATACCAGGTCAGTTCACTCTGCCTCTACCATTCCCATCTTTTAAAATGATCTACAAAACTACTTAGGAGAAACTGCACTGTGGTTGAAGTAACAAAAAATACAAAGCTGCTTTGTATGCAACAAGGCCAATTTAACACCCACAAACTTCATTACCACTGTTAGCAAAGAACTTTGTACACTTCAATTATTTACTCCTCAAAGCCAGTGGATATTTAGTGTCTTCATTAAGCAGTAAAGATTTAGTGACTTAAGTCAGCTCTAAACAGAGAAACCTATTTGTGTGCCTGTAGAGGGAACCTTAAATTATGCCAAGATGCTTCTTGGTTTAAAAAAAAAAAAAAAAAAAAAAAAAATTGTCAACATCATTTTTATACAGAAAGTTTACAAGCCCCTACCATTGTATCCTATCACTCATTTATTCAGAAAGTTTGATTTCATGGAAACCATTAAAGTTTCATAATGAGTTCATCAAAGCAATACTCACTGGGAATAGTAGTAACAACTTCTCCAACCTGTAATCTGTACAAAATTGTGGTTTTTCCAGCACCATCCAATCCCAAAATTAAAATCCTCATTTCCCTGGTTCCAAAGAGACTGGAAAAAATACTTGAGAAAAAGCCACCTACAAGATTAAAAAAAAAAAAAAAAAGTATTTAATGTCATCTTATAAATTAGGTGCACAAAACATTTAACCTTGCCTTTTGAAAGCTGTATGTCTAAAAGAGCAAAATACTTCTTGGATGCACAGGTACTCTTGCTTCCAATGCAGTGCATTAGTCACCAGCAAGCAGTAGTAAGTGATCTTACCAGGGCCTGAGTAACATCAGGCATGCAGAAGCTACACTAAGTCATCAGACATGTAAACACTGCCTTCAAGAGTCCAGTCCATTTCCTAGTCAGCAGAGTAAGGACACGATACCTTAGACAGGCTCCTCCTTAATGTAAACACCAAAGCACCAGTCCAAAGAGCAGTGGCGCAATGGAGCCCTCAGATGGGCAGGCAGAGGGCAGGCAGTTATTGTACAGAGGCAGTACCAACATAAGCCTTTACTATGCTCCCCACAACAAACTCTAGAGGCCACACAAAACCAAATAACTATTTTCATGTTGTTATCTAACAATAGCTATTTTTGAAAAGCCATCTTATTATTTTGGGGGCGAGTATTTTTTGAGACTAGGTCTCACTTTGTAGTCCTGGCTGGCCTGGAAATCAGTATGTAGACCAGAATGGCCTCAAGTTCACAGAGAGCTGCCTGCCTCTGTTTCCCAAGTACATTATTTTAAGGTCTAGAGAGGTGGCTCAGCTGTTAAGAGCACTAGCTGCTCTTCAGAGGATCCAAGTTCAATTCCTAACACCCACGTGGCAACTCACAACTGTCTGTAACTCCCATTCGAGGGGATCTGACACCCTCACACAGATATACACAAAGGCAAAGCACCGATGCACATAAAGTGAAAATAAATTAAATTAAAAATTCATGTAGAGCTACTTGTTGTGGCGCATGCCTTTAATCCCAGCTCTTTGAGAGGCAGAAGCAGGTAGATCTCTGAATTTGAGGCTAGCCTGAAAGTGAGTTCCAGAACACCTAGGACTACACAGAGAAACCCTGTCTGGAAAAACCAATCAATCAAACAAACAAACAAAAACCATCATTTTAGACAGTAAGACTACATCCACTATTTTATGAAATATTTCCAGGAACCTTTATGTACCCAAGACAGCCTGCAAAGTAAAAATATTTGTGATGCAAACTTTTTGCCTTCAAAAACCACTAAAAGAAAAAAGAAAAGATTTACAATATAAGGTGAGAAAAAGGAAAAGGGGGGTAATGAAGAATATGCTCAACATGCAATATATATAATATATTATATAATATGTCTATGTGTATAAGTTATATATTATATATTTTAAGATTATATACACATATGTATTTTTAAGATTATATACATATACATATATACATATATATACACAAGATTATATATACATATATATGTATGTACATACGTATAATCTTAAATATATAATCATACATATGTATATATGTATAATCATATATATGTGTATATATACACATGTGTATATATACACACATATATAATCTTAAAAATAAAAGGCAAGGCCTTTTAGTAAATGGTCCAAGCCTGCAATATCAGCTACTCAGGAGGCTAAAGCAAGAACACTGAGTCTGAGGCCAACTTTGACTACAGAGTGAGTTGAGTTCGAGGCCAGGCAACTTAGTGAGATCCTATCTCAAAGTTTTAAAGGGCTGGGGCTATACAGCTCAGCAGCAGGGCGTTGCCCAGCATGCTCAAGCTCGGAAAGAAAAGGAAAGTAGTAGAGGGGAAGAAAGAAAAACAGATGTCACACTTGCCTACTTGGAAAAAACACGGCACAATTAAAGCTGTCCAGTCTAGAAAAACAAACACAGCACAAGCTGTATGTAGAAAGAATGGGTGTGACTTGACAGAGTCTTTTAGACCGTTCACGCGTAGAAGTGAGGTAGAAAAACCCCAAAGGGTTACAGAGAGCCGAACAGATTCTCGGGGTCTATACACTTTTGAGAAAGCTGAGGAAGGATTAAAAACAAACCCACGGGAGAATCTGCAACCCCTAGAGGCTCCAGCTGTAACGGGGGCGTCGCCGTAGGGTGCTCTTGGACAACTCCGTAGTTTCCTCACCTGGGAAACCGCCATCTGCGACGGGGACTCAAATCCCACTCGCTGGCCCGCCGAACCCTCCCCGTCGGCAACCCACCTTACTCAACCACCGGCGCAAACAGCTCCCGCGGGAGCGCAGACAGAGCAGGGCCAGGGCGACACCCGCTGCCCTCGGGTTTCTCAGAGTGACGCAGCCCACGCCCACGAGAGCCATCAGGCTTCCACGGAGGGCCGGACACCTCGGTGACCCTGCCAGGCACCCGAAGTCCCGCTGCACCCAAGACGGGGACGCGGGGCGAGGGGAGGGGAAGCCGGGCTGGGGCCAGTCGCGACCCCGCAGGTGAGCGGGGACCGAGCGCGGGTGGGGCAGCTCCCTGGAGGTGAGGCGCCACGGAAGCTGCTGCCCCGCGGCCCGGCCGGCCGGTGCCCTCGGCGCGATGCCCTTCCCACTCCTCACCCATGGCGAACGGCAGCCGCGTCCTCGCCGACCCTCGGAGACAGGCCGGGACTCGGCAGCCAGACTAGTTGAGCCCGGGCGCCGCCACCTCAGCTGCTCCCGGCCACTCGGAGGCCGACTCCTCCGAGCCTGCTCGGCCAGCAACTTCCACGTCGTCCACCCAGCGGGGGCGGGAGCTGGAGCGAGAGGCCACTGCGACTGCGCTCCGGGCGCGGCGGGCTGGGCGTCCGCGTCGGCGCTTTCGACGCAAAGCCCGGGGCGCTGAACGGGGGGGACGCCGCAACGACGACCAGACAGAACAAAATTAGAGACCAAAACTGTCCCCTGGTTCCACTTCTGCTAGCAGGAGGGCCTTCTCGAGTACTGAAATCGTAATTTTCTCATGTTGAATTCTGACACCAAGTAGTGGCGAATCGGCTAAGGAGAAGGAAGCGTCGGCGCTCGATGGAGCGCGGGCCCAGGGTGCTGGCGCAGGTCGCCGCCGCGCGCGGCCTGCCGATCCCGGCCGTCCGCTCTCCCCAATGCTCTCCCGCAGGAGGAGCCCGCTTTACGCAACAATAACGGGAAAGCTCGCCCGCAGCCCGTGCGCGCCGGCCATACTCGCTGCGTGCGCCCACACAGCTGCCTCGCACCTGAGGTGCCTTAATTTTTTGTCCTCTAGGTGGCCGACTGACCACCTTTCCGCCTTCACAGGACTGGGAACTAGTTACCTCCTGCGACTTAAGCTGGAAGTTACGGTAGTTTTTGATAGCGAAAGGGTTGGATGTTTCTTAAAATTCCTAGAAAAACGCTTCTTGCTTCTGCGCGGCGGCTCGGAGGCTGAAGTGCGTTCCAGGTCGGACCCCCCGCAACCCGCGCCTTGGCCACGGAAGGCACTGCTGCTGGAGTTATGATGGATGTCAATACTGCTTTGCAAGAGGTGCTGAAGACCGCCCTGGTCCACAACGGCCTAGCACGAGGAATTCATGAAGCTGCCAAAGCGTTAGGCAAGCACCAAGCCCATCTATGTGTGCTCGCGTCTAATTGTGATAAACCTACGTACATCAAGTTGGTGGAAACCCTTTGTGCTGAGCACCAAATCAACCTAATTAAGGTTGATGACAACAAGAAACTAGGAGAATGGGTAGGCCTCTGTAAAATTGATCGGAAGGGGAAACCCCGCAAAGTGATAGGTTGCAGCTGCGTGGTGGTTAAGGACTATGGCGAAGAATCTCAAGCTAAAGATGTTATTGAAGAGTACTTCAAATGCAAGAAATGAACAACAACAAAATTGGCTTATTTTCTTCTTAAGTTCCTAAAAACGTAGAAAAGGAGAATTATCTCAAACTCCTGAGTTATCGCCGGAAATAACAGCACTTCTTAGGTTTTCTTCCAAACGTAAACTTTGCATTTATTTTTTTTTTTAATTTATTTATGTTTTGTTTTGTTTTTCCGAGACAGGGTTTCTCTATGTATCCTTGGCTCTCCTGGACTCCATTTGTAGACCAGGCTGGCCTCAAACTTGGAGATCCACCTGCCTCTGCCTCCCCGAGTGCTGGGATTTAGGCTGCACCACCACTCCCGGCATTATGTTCTTATGTATAACGTAAAGTTTCATCGTTTTGGAAGGTTACAAACTTCATAAAATTTAGCTTAACATTGTTAAGGTTTAATTGACAGTATGTATACTTCACAGTGTGATGTTTTAATATGAATATATATTTATGAGAGAGAAATGGTTATTATAGACATAGCCAAACCCTCACATACTTCCTTTTCCTGTATGCTCAGAGCACTGAAGATCTATTTTCAAGTAGGCAGTGCATTGCTAACTAGTCATCATGCTGTCACTATAAATCTGTTCCCCTTTGTTCATGTATCGGCAGCCCTGCTCCCATCCCCTGACAGTCACTGCTCTGCCCCCTGCACCACCTAGGAAATGTGTGGTTTTGTACTGAGCTTATTTCATTTAGCAGAATAGCTTCTAAGTTTATTCATGTTGCCATGAATGAAACGGCTTCCTTTTTAAGGCTGAGCACATGAATATGTACACTCACATATCTTACATATTAAGACATTTACTCAGGTTGGTTTTGTTTTTTTTTGTTTTTTTTTTTTTTTTTTAGATTTACTTTTATAAATCTTTAGCAAGCTGTGTGCCCATGGCATGCATGTATGTGCACACGAGGACAGGTGCCGTCAGGCCAGCTGGAGTTGTAGGTGCTGGAATCCAAATTAGAGTCCTCTGCACAAACAGTAATTACGAACCAATGAGCCATCTCTTCAGCCCCCACTGATTTTTCTATATTGGCAGTCATGACTAATACTGCAATGAACACAGGACTGCAGCTATCTCTTTGACATATTGATCTCATTTTCTTTGGATAAATATCACAATGTAAATGCTTCAGTATTTATTTTATTTTATTTTATTTAAGGGTCTCCATACTGTTTTCCATAGTGACTATAATAGTTTACATTCCTACCAAGAGTGTCTATTTTGTTTTTTACTTAAATTTGCTATATAGACGTTGAATTAAATCTCCCAACACCCTCATCTGCACCCAAAGCCCATTCTCAGAAACTCCTCGAAGAGAAAAGTTGTTCGAGAAAGTGAATTTCTACCTAAACACCTGTGAGGTCTGGAGAGACATCTCTCTAGAATGAGCCACAAATGAGTTTGTTAAGTATACAATAAGCAAAAGTAAAATGTCAAAAATCCAATAGGAGACAGAAGCAAAAAATAAGAAAATGTCAATTCAGATGCTCACAATATCCAGCAGAGACATCTGGGGTGGCCCAGTTGAGAGCAGACAAGGGTAACATCAAGTCAGGAACTTTTAAACATCTAGCAGAAGTCAGCAAAAATCGTCACTGAGTTGACAGACTCGAGTCCCTGATCAGAGTGTCCCCTTCTGTTGAAGCTTCCATGTAAAAGAACAAATAAAAGCAGATAGAAACATTGAGCCACGCTCTTACAATCACCCAGCAGAAACTGGGGAAAGAGTCCCTGAAAGCAATGGGAGAATTCTAAGAGCACTGTATTTGTTCCACTGATGACTTTAGCTTCCCATGGCTAAATTTCTGGCTTTCTGTTACCATCCTTTGCATTTTTATTTCATGGGGTAAACACCAGTGACTCCTATTGGGAATGCTCTGCCTTCTAGCTGTTCTCAAAGACATGAGGATTCTTTTTTTTTCCTTTCTGGTTTTCAGAGCCAGGTACCAGCCTGATTGAGCACAAGGGAGTTTTAGGCCACTTGGGCCTGGAGTAAGACAGCCAGCCCTGCCTTCAGCTTCTCAGCTTAAAGAACACAAGATAAATTACCAGCCAGTGACAACACCTGGGCCTTTTTAAGGTTATTTGTAAAAACTGCCTTGTCTTTACATGCTGTACACATAAATCATGCTTATGATTCCAAAGACCCTCACCCATTCTCTCCCCACCTCCTCTCCAACAGGACCTGGCAGGTCTTGGTCTACTTCAAACTTAGGCTCTTATAGATTGATCTTTGAGTACAATTGCATAAATACCTGAGAGTATGTAGTCTTTTTAAAAGAGGGCCAAAGGAAAAATATGCAGAATGTATAAGGCTAGGCAGCACACACCATTAATCCCACCATTTGGGAGGCAGAAGCAGGTGGATCTCTGTGAGTCCGAGGCGAGCTTCATCTACATCAGGATAAACCAGGGCTACATAGAAAGATCCTGACTCAAGGGGAGGGAGAATAAAAAAAAAGTAAAGAAAAATATACCACCATAAAACTACTGTGAAAATAAGTCCTCATAGGCAAATTTTGGAACTCTATTTTTAAAATTTCCACAATAAAGAGTAATCTCTGCGGCTGAAGAAATGGCTCAGCAGTTAGGATCTTACTGCTCTTGCAGAAGACCCAGGTTCAGTTCCCAGTACCCACCTGGTGGCTCCCAGCCGTAACTAATTCCAGGGCATATTAGTGTTATATAGAGTAACAACTTACAGAGTGGGTGTATATGGAATTTGTGTGTGTGTGTGTGTGTGTGTGTGTGTGTGTGTGTGTGTGTGTGTGTGTGAACTTATTGGACTGACTGGCTGCAGTCCAGCTAAAACAACAATGGCTGGCTGTAAATGTAAGGTCCAGGAATCCAGTAGTTGCTCAGTCCATGAGGCTATATGTCTTCAGTATACACCAAAATCTTCAAGAAATAAGCTCCAATTTTAGTGAAGAAATGGATGTGCCAGCAAGTCAAGGTCAAGCAGGCAAAGAGCAAAAGCTCCTTTCTTCATCATTCTTATAGAGACTTCCAGCAAAAGGTGTAGCTTAGGTTAAAGGTGTGTCTTCCCACCTCAAGATCCGAGTTGAAGATGTGTGTCTTTTTGCCTCAAAGGTCCATACTAGAAGTGGATTCACCAAAGCAAAAATAATCTCTCTCTCACAGGTGTGCCCTGTATTTCTGGACTGTAGTTCTTTCCAGATGTTGTCAAGTTGACAACCAAGAAAAGCAATCACAGAAGGATTCAATTGCTCTTCTGACTTCTGTGGGCTCCTACATGTACATTCAGGCAAACACACATAAAATTAAATATATTTTATAGAGTGATCTTTAAGGAAGTACAACCTTAAAGCCATTCTAACAATGCTATGTTGGAAGCTTTGAGTTTTTGTTCTGAGACAATCACATAGAATTGACTTGTTTAACAAGTTCATTCAGTGTTATATTGAAAATTGGAACATACCTCAGTTTCCATTGCTCTAATTTTTAGGACAAATTCTTTCCCAAAAAATCCCTCTAATTTTCTATGACTCCTGTCTTATGCTTATTGTCCAGTCCCAAGTGGCCACTAGGTGGAGGTGCTGCTGCAAGCTGGTAGCTATTAGACTCCTGACAACTAGTCAGTTTATAAGAAGCAATGAACAACTTGCCATCTTTTTTTTTTTTTTTTTTTTTTTTTTTGAGACAGGGTTTCTCTGTGTAGTCTTGGCTGTCCTGGACTCACTTTGTAGACCAGGCTGGCCTCAACTCAGAGACCTACCTGCATCTGCCTAAGTGCTGGGATTATAGCTGTGTGCTGGGCCAGTCTTGCTGTGTAACCCTAGCTGGCACTGCATTTGTAATCCTGCCTCAGCTTTCTAATTGCTAGGATTAGATATATGAGCTAGCATGGCAGCTCTAACTTTAGAGTAAATAGGTTTAATCTTTCACATTTATGTTCTTTCTTTTCTTTTTTTTTTTTTTTTCAGAGTCTAACTCTGTAGCCCAGACTAGCCTCTAACTCACAAAGATCCTCCTACCTCAGCTTCCTAAACTGCTGGGATAATAAACAAAAGCCACCACACCCAGCCCCTTTAATCTTTTTCAGATGGTACAATCCAGTAACAACTTACTAAAATTTTAAATTAGATTATTTTCACCAATATCTTTTTCCCCATTTACATTCACACTTCATTCTGGGGTAGAGAAAGGAGCCAGCAGTTAGAACATTTTGAGAGGCTGTGGTTCCTTGGAGAGAAATCAGTTGAGTTCTGATTGTTTCACTGAGGATCTTGACATTGGTGGTGGCTGCCAGAGGCTGAGGTCTCCTGGGACAGTGGCCGGAAGCAGGAGTGGGCCTGCGTGGTGGGCTCATATTGCTGAGCTTGGCTTCTCACCCAGGAACCAGAAGATCATCATTGAAGATCTCTGCTGATGGGACACACTACAGCTCTCCCAGGGGACTGTGCACAGGGAGAGGCCGAAGGTACACAGGGGTCAACAGTGCCCTCACTGACAGGGTATTGGAGATCATTGTCTTTGGCCCCCACACATACCCCGGTTCCCGTGTAGGGCCTCTCCAAAGGGTAAAACAAATGGGGTTAGCTCCTTATTCCAGAACAGATCCCAGAAGCTCATCAGCACAGAGAGAAAGTATTTTCCCACTCTTCTTCACACCTCTGCTAGAGATGCTGGGGAAACAGCATCTAGCCATAACTTTTCTTCTCTTGGAGGCTTACTTTCTGTTCCTGCAGAAAGGCTCAGATTGCAAAACCACTGGTCTAAACAAAGGACCTGGAGCGGTTCCTGATTTTTATTTTTATTTTTTTTTCTCTCTTAGTACCTGGGAAAGTTTCAAACTTCCAGTTTGATGTGCAGCTCCTTCGTCTCCACTCCTGAGCAGCTGAGAACCGCATCAACTCTGTTGTAACACACCCGGCAGAGTTCGGGCTGCAGAGGGGAGAATTTTGCTTGCTCCCCTGGGTTTCTGGCTGTTTCTGCACCAGCATCATTCTTGAAAGTTGTGCAACTTTCCAAAGACTTGAAATTCAGTCCACATCTCAATTCAGCCCTCCTCAATTATTTTTCCCC